GGAAGTCATTGTTTAGAATTTTCCACAGGTTGGCTTTGACCCTGATACTATAACTGAGATATCGGATTTTTCATTCATCTGCCTAAAACTTTTCCAACCATAATCTTATTTGACCTCTGGTGTCTACCACATGGCTGAACCTCTCAGCACTCAGGAGGAAATACAAGGATCATTACGACTGCTCTCTTTAAAATCCTGCTGTAGAAAAGGCTGTTTTTACTGCATATTTTGTTCTCCCCCAAATCTGGGCGGGTTTTTCTTTCTCAGTAAGAAGGGTAGCTCATCACTCTAATGTTCTGTGACTGGCTGAAAATGTGCTGATAGCCATACTGAAGTTGTCGTTTCTTAGATAAAAGATTGGCAATTTCCTTCCACTCTGCTATCTCTTTTTGGATAATCAGAAGAGGAAAGACTGGGGGTGGTGATTTTATTTTATCTGGAAGAGAAGTCTGGAAAAAAAGTCATTTTCCTCAAGCCGAACAGTCATTGCGTCAGTGGTGGTCAAGTCCGTCTCCCGTCCGCAAAGAATCATTTCTCTGCAGCAGAATAGAGGGGAAGACGGTGTTACACTGTAACCATGGTGGCTTCAACACAGTGCTGGGTCCAGATTTGATTCCTAAAGATCGAAAGAAAATTGTAGAAATGAAAAGAAGTTAAAAATGATTAAGAAAAAGGGATCTTCAACCTCCCATGCTTCCCTTGGAGAATTCTTCCTTTCTTCAAAAAGCTGATAAAGCCTAGGCTCTTCCTCCAGAGCAGAGAGGGTGAAGCTTCCTTCTCTTCTCCCTCGATACCATTTAACCTTGTCACTTACACAAGGAACACAAAAGAGAAAACTGCTCAGTCCAACCGGTGTTGAATACACATGGTATAACAGAAAAATATGGTGAAGATCTAAAAAAACTTTTTTTTTTTTTTGGTACTGGGAATCAAATTCTGGTCCTTGTGCTTGCGAGTCTGGTGGCAGAACCACTGAGCTAAATCCCCTCCCCGCCAGGTCTAAAATTTTAAAAAGTGTTATTGTAAGAGACATCATCACGAATTCCCCTCAGAATACTCTCCCTTTCTGTGAACACACAGCCCATTCTTGTCATTTTCTGCAGCAGTTCTGAAGTCCTCTTTCAGGAGTGTCTTTAGGTGAGCTATCTTGGTTGCCCTGCTGTCCTGACTTGATTAAAACTTTTTTTCCTCTCGGTACAGGGAACCGAACTCAAGACCTTGCCCTTGCCATTCAGGCATGGCATCAATGAGCTACCTCCCTGGCCCTTGATTAAAAACTTTGACCTTTCATGGTCATTTTGAGTTTGGGGAAGAGCCAGAAGTTACATATTACCAGATCTGGTGAATAAGGCGGATGAGGGCACAGTGTCATATGTTTATTTGACAGAAATTGCAATAAATATTTGATCAATAAGGGATGATAAAAACATGGTGAATGCATAAAATGAAACATTTATTACAGTGAAAGACATGTTACCATTAATCCTCCTCAAAATACTCCCCTTATCCTATTATTTTTAGTAATGTGTCTTTTTCTGTGATTTTTTTTCTAAAAATGTGAACATTCATCATTTTCTACCAGCCCGTGTATACCCAGCACACACATATGTGCACATACTCCACATATGTTCTGTTACATATGTTCTGTATCCCATCTCTACACTGGAACAATCACACCATGTTTGACGACGAGCAATAGAACAGACTACATGTATAACCGTCATCTTAAAGTGCTCTGAAAATGCAATCATGAATAGGAAACACCTTCATCAGAGAGTTCCAGACCCTAGCAAGACAGAGAGCATTTTCAAATGATGGAAACCTCAACGACACCTAGTGGGAAAAACTCTTAGAAGCAAGAGAAAAATTGAACAACTGTCTGGCCACAAAACGAACATTAAAAAGCCATCGTATCTTTATCAATGAATATGAAACATTTCTGACTTCCTGAACAGGATAACAAATGGCATAAGCACCTAGGGACTTGCTAGAGTGCTTCAAGGGGTGCCCCATGTGTTCTGTCCTGGTCACCACGTTCTTTGCCGGGATCGCATCTTTACCGGGGATGTGGCACTGATCATGGTCGTGCAGGTCTTTGTGTCTTTCTGTGTGTTTCTCACTCCCATTGATGGTTTGTTTGCTGCCTTGTGGACACGGGGTCTGACTTAGAGGTTTCTTCGTTGGCTTGCTCCTTGCAGCCCCTGTTGTGCTTCTGGGCCTCGGAGGAAGCCTGCGTAGGGCTATAGCTTATCATCTTGCTGCCCATTATTCCAGTGCAGGAACAGAGCTTACTGACTTTGTCGCTTGCTGCTGTGGCATTCCTGCACGTGTCTCCTTTCTGCAAATGTGTCGTCATGGCCCGGCCCAGGGCTCCGAGGTGCACTCCAGGATCAGGGGAGGGTCCTGTGTAACACAGCCTTCTCTGCACAGCTCAGTTGCTTCCAGTTCGTGTTCACCAGCCTGTGTGCAAGTTCTCAGTGTTGCACATCCTTCCCCAAACACTTGCTTTCACCAGCCACGCTTTTCACTGTCAAGAGCAAAAATGTGGAAAATATGATGGAAATTTAACAACGATAAAGTTCCAGGGATAGAATTTATAAGTAATGTGGTACAGAACTAGGAGAAAATGAAACATTTAAAAACAGTATGAATACTTAGTAAAAGATTTTAGCAGGCAAAGTACACATTTTCATTAGGTGCAAAGACTCCAAATTGAAAAGAAAAATGTTTAAATTATTCTCTAAACTCAAATCTAATGTTATTTCTCCCTAATATTGAAAAAGAATCTATATGAGAAAGTAACTATGTTTTTAATGAAGAGAAACATAAAGCTAGCACTAGCAGTTATTAAATTATTTGTTGATGCAAGATGCCAAAGTTGATCATTTAAGTTGTGACTCTAGAAAGATCTCAAGTATAATACACACGAAAAAGGTAACATCGCAAATCCCTGGGTAAAATATATAGTCAATGAATGTCACTGAATTTTGGGCTAATAATTAAACAGATTTGGATCTCTACTTCATAATTGTACACACACAATTTAGGAGCATTAAACATTTTAATTAAAAATAAAACTAAAACGATGGATAAAATCTTTGGTGATTGTAATTTTGGCAAAAAGCAAAAAGCCAACAAGAAGAAATTTGACTACATCAAAATAAAAATCTTCATCCCAGTGATGAAATCTAAGTATATATAAAAAAACAAACTGCAAGAAAAAAAATTTTAAAAAATTTTATTGGTACATTTTAGGTATACAGTACAGTTACATTCATTATTGGGATCTTGTACTTTTATATAACAGGACTTGGTTCTAATTTTCTCCCCTTGTCCCTGCCCTCCCTTCACCCCCTCCTCTCCTCCCCATTTACAAACACTTTATTTCCATCTTTTCATTTTCTTACATTTTTTTCTTTCCCCTTATTAACTTTCCCCTATCCTTCCCATTTTCCTACACCTTTAGCCTTTTTCTTCCCATTTCACAATGTCAGTTATCTCATTGGGATCTTATGTACTATTACAATTTATTCACACCAGAGAAACTATTAGGTATTTACACATGTGTGCCTTATTTATTTCACTAAGTAGTATATCCTCAATATGTATCCATTTTCTTATGGATGAATCCAATTTCTCATTCTTTATGGCTGAGTAATATTCCATTTTATAGAAAAAACACATCTTCTTTATCCAATCTCTAACTGATGGGCCAATGGGCTGTTTCCAAGTTAGAAGAAAAATTTTATGAGGGTTACTAGCCCAAACATAAAGCATTTCTATGGATATAAGGAAAAAAGATAAATCTCAATAGAAAAGCCCAGTTCACAAAATATTTATAAAAGTAGAAATATAACATCAATCAATAACTTTTAGAAATGCACATTAAAATGACGAGATACCCAAAGATAGCTGGATTGAAGGAAATATGCAATATAAGTTCATAAGACATTCATGGAAGAAAATTTGCTTTCTTAAAAACTGGCCCTTTCATAAGTGTAACAGACAGCAATTAATCAGACTTCTTAGATTTGTTGTATTAAATGAAGCAACACATGATGAGTACTTAATAAAATACCTGATGTTTTATAAATGCCCTGTAAAATTTGGCTGCTATAAATTGTCTTTTGTATTAAATCTCTTCACATTACATAGCCCTTCAGTCATTGAAATGATGAGGCAGAATTTTGTATTGTGACAGAGAAGATTCTAAGGAAAATGTAATGTATAGACAGCATTTGTAATATGAGTACATTTCTATCGTTTATGTGTATATATTACTACCTAAAATGAGGATGGTAACTAGGAGAAGTACCACTTAATGTGGAGAGAAGGCAGCCGATTAACTTGAATCTGCCTAGGAAGCTTATCAGCTTCCCATTAAGTAGTTACTCAATGTTTGTTTTTATTTTTGTTTGTTTGTTTTGCTACAATTTTTCAAGACAGGGTCTCCTTATGTAATTCACTCTGGCTCTAAACTCATGATGATCCTCCTGTCTCAGCCTCCTGAATGCTGGGATTAGACACATGTGCCACCATGCCTGGTTAAGTAGTTACTTAATAGGAACCTAACTAAATGGGCACATAGTTTTTGTAGTTAAAAAGAAAATGTATTTTATTACTATCTTGAAATTAAAACATTTTGAGAAATTTTACATTGAAAGATAAAATATAATAGTGATTAAGTACAAAATTTTAAAGTAAATGAATAATTTGAACATACCTTTCCTTACAAGATGTGTGTGAATAGCAATGACTGGCATTGTTACGTGTAGGTATGTCGCAGGTACTGAGGACACAGCGAACTGAAGAAAACAAAGGCTTGCTCAGCCAGAGTTCACTTTTTAAGGGGACAGCAAGAGGGAGAAAGCAACAAAGGAAGACTGGAGTCTGGGAGGAGTTGCCAAGTACTCCGGAAGTAGGAGGGCAAGGCTTTGGGAAACCGGAAGTTGAGAGGACTCCGGAAGTGGGGCGGAGGGCTGAGAGAAGAGAGCTCCCATCCAGGAATTTGTGGAGAAGATTCCACCAGCCGGGCTGTGCCTGACACGCTTAGGAGGAGCTGTGGTGCATAAGGTAAACCGACACCCCGTGAGGGAGGAAAAGCGAGGGCGGGCAGCTGAATGCCATGTGGAGGAGTCGGCGCAGGAAGGAGAGTGGTGACTCTGGGCCCAGCAGTAAAGGACTAGGAAGGCCACTGCGGTGGCAGCCTGCAGGTCACTGGGCAAGGTCGCCTCCCTGAAGGGAGAACGAAAAGCACTGTTAGAGCGAGAGAGGAATTGGAGGAGAGTAGACAGTTGCTTTCATCGGGTTTTCCATCAAGAGGAACGGAGAAAAGAGAGGGAAGCTAGAGATGTGTGGGCCAAGGAAAGAGGTTGGGGAAATGGAGAAGCAGTGCTTTTTGGATTCATGCTCATGGGAAGGCTCCGAAGAGAGAGAAAAATGAGTGTTGTTGGGCAAGAGTGCGGCTGGTGATGTGTTTCAGAGCAGTGGGAGGGGTCAGCTCTGGGATGTGGGGTCGGGAACTACCATGTGCTTGGACCTTGAGGACATCGTGACAAGTAAATTGAGGCAGTCACAAACCAGAAGAAAAGTACTCCATGATTTCACTTATATGAAGTATCCAGAGTAGAGGGACTCGGTGGTGGTGGTCAGGGGACGGTGGGGTGGGGAGTTTTGTTTATTAGGGAGTTTCCATTCAGTGAAAGGACAAGGTTCTGGAGCAATGTGAATATGCTTAACATAAGTGAACTGTGTACTTAAAAAAGGCTAAAATGGTAAATATGCTAGGTATATTGTATCACAGTTAAGAATTTTAGGAAGAAAGAAAGAAGAAAAGGAGAGAAAGAGAGGTAGGGAAAGAAAGGAGGAAGAAAAGAAGGAAGGGAGGAAGGGCAAAGAGGACCTAATAACTAGCTTTGTTTGAGACGTGGCTGTGTTTGAAGGTCAGCAGGACAGATTCCCCCACTTGTCTTTTGAAAGTTACTTTTCACTTGGTGGAGCTATAAAATGTTAGGATTCTTTTCTCATACTTGAAAAGAATTTAATTAGTGGAAGGGTTTGTTATAACAGTGATTTGTAGCCTATATTTTAAGTTTAGACCAAGAATACTGCAAGAGCCCCACAGGAATACAAGTTTTTAAATTTTGGCTTGTTCAGAGGAAAAAGAATGGTTTTGGGATTCATTTTCAGTGTAATTTATTTTTCCAGTCTCTAGCATACAGTGTGATTCATTTCATAGGGACTGTACTTAAGGCCGTGTGGCTTTAAGCAGGACTTCCATGAAATGAAATCATTGCATCTAATTCATCATTTGGAAGCTCAAAGTTTGTAATTATGTGGCCAATCATTTCCCATCATGAGTCAGCCAGCACTGAAATAGAACAGGCCCACCCACTGCAGTTAGGTGAGCGCCTCTCCTTGGGAGGGTCACGATTCCTTGGGCAGAATCAAATTGTTAGAATGGTCATATTACCAAAACTGATAGATAGATTTAAATGCAATCTCAAACAATATGCCAATGACAATCTGCACATAAATAGAAAATAACAATTGTAACATGTACATGAACCCTTGTCAGAAATGTAGTTTGCAACTATGTCTTTCTGTTCTGTAGGTTGTCTCTTCACTTCCAGCTATTATTTCCTCTTCTGTGCAGAAACTTTTTAGTTGATATGACCCAATTTGTCTGTTTTTACTTTGCAGTCTTTTTCCAAAACAATCCTTGCCAATTGCAGTGTCCTGAAGCATTTTTTTCCTATGTTTTCTTCTAGTAGTTTCATGTCTTATATTTAAGTCTGTAATTTATTGTGTTGATTTTTGTAACTGGTGAGATATAAGAATCTAGTTTCATTCTTCTGCACTTGTATACTCAATTTTCCCAGCACCATTTAGTGAAATGACTGTTGTGTTTCTAGTATATGTTCTTACACTTTTGTAGAAAATCATGTGGTTGTACATGAGCAAGATTACTTTGTATAATTTACTTTTAGGCTCTCTTTTGTTTCACTGGTGCATTGGTCCATGTTTTATGCCAGTATATGCTATTTTTCTTACTAAAGCTTTATGGTATATTTTGATATTAAGTAGTGTAATGTCTCTTGCAGGCTTCTTTTACTCAGAATTGCTTTGGCTATTTGAGATTTTTTTTGGTGGTTCCCCCACAAATTTGAAGATTGTCATTTCTAACTCTGTGAAGAACTGCATTTTTTTTTTTTTTTTTTTTTTTTTTTTTTTTTTTTGCCAGGGATTGCACTGAATCTGTAGATTTCTTTTGGTGATGTGGACCCTGACAATATTATTATAACCCATAATCATGAGATGCCTTTTCTTTTTTTTTTGGTGTTTTCTTCAGTTTCTTTCATCAGTATTTTATAGTTTTTATTGTATAGGCTGTTCATCTTTTTGGTTAAGTTTATTCCTAGGTATTTTATTTTATTTTTGTGGCTGTTATATGTGCGATTATTTTCTTAATTTCTATTTCAGGAATTTGCTGTTGGCATTTGGCAATACTACTGATTTTTGTACATTAGTTTTTGAGCAAGGTTAATAAGCTTTGGCAAGATATTTCTGAGAGCAGGGTGCAGAGTGGCTTCTAGGAGAGAATTCTGTTGCCTTGACAGAGTGAAGTAAGGGGGCTAGAGACACAGATGACTTTATTTTACATCTTCATCTTTTTGTTGCTGTTGTTATGAGACAGGGTCTTGCTGTGCAGTTCAGGCTGGCATTGAACTCACAGCCGTCCTCCTGCCTTAGCCTCAGAGCACTGGTGTTGTAGGCTTGTGTCACCATGACTGGCTCGCTTGGAATTTTTTTGTGTTTTAGACTCAGAGTACTCACTGTGTTCTGCATGAGGATGTGATGAGACGGTATAGAAGAGGGACACTGACTTTGAGGTGGTGCTGGGATGATAAAGGTGGTGATAGAATGCTCTGAAAGGGCCTTTCTGGAAGGCGAGTCTGAAGGAACCTTCCTAATAAAATCTTTGTAGCTTGTGCTGCCATTGCTTCTCAGAAGACCTGAGCGTGCCATTCCTTTCACGAGTTTCCCCAAGTTTGATCCCACTAGGAGAGCAGGCCCAGTTCCTACAGTGCCCATATCCCCTCCTCAAGCTGGCACCCACCCAACAAGCTATGATATGCCAGGCCTGAGCTGATTGATCTCCTTAACTACGTCACCTTTCTCCTGTCTTATCTGTACTGTTCCTCAAACATAGGTCCTTGGAACTTTTTATTTTACAGAATGAAGCATCACTTAGTTCTTGTATCAAAAACAAGGCCCTTTAAGACCTCTTAACAAAATGCGGACCTCAGAGCAAACTGGCCCATCCTCAGGAATTTGGCCAGGACTTGTCAGAGCTCCTCCCTTCCTCGTTCAGGACACATGACGTCCACCAGGGGGAGCCTCTCACTCTAGGTCACCGTGTATTTGAAATCCCAGATTAGAGTCCTACGTAGCTTGCAGACCCGTGTATTCTCATCCTGCTGGAGAAGGGCAACTTGAATTTATCCATTCACTGGTTCCTCCTATCGGCCTGGCCTGTGGCCCTGTGGTCCTTTGGGGTTCTGACTGCAATGAGAGTGTATTTATTTACAACCACATTGGAGGATGAACAGGCCTGTTCATTATCCTGTGTCCCTGGGCAGGCCTTGTGAAAGGCAGTGGTAAGATGAACAAGGAACTTGCTCTGTGAAGCCTACGTTTTGATTTTCTAGAGGAGAATTCTTTCTGGTGAATTTAGAGCATGGTTATTACAAGTGGATCCTGTGACTTTTCCCAGTGACACTGGGAATGGCTAGAAATCTTGCAAGCAAATGTAACAGTGTGTTCACTACAAACTTGTATAAGGATAATGATCTCTTTCAATTAATTGATTTTTAATTGACAAAGTTTGTATATATTTCCAGGGAACAACATGATGTTTTAATATATGTGTACATTGTGGAATAGTTGAGTCAATGTAATTGACAAGGGATTGTATCACATGCTTATGTTTGTGGTACGAATGTTTAAAATCTACTCTTTTAGCAATTTTCAGGTAAATACTCTAATATGTTGTTGGTAACGATGGGTGTCTTGCTGGTAAATAGATCTCTCATCTATCCTTTCCATCTGACTGAAAATCTGCATCCTTTAACCAGCCTCTCCCGACCCTTCCTCCCGGACTCTGGCAAAGTCCACTTTATTCTGTTCGGCGAGTTTCACATTTTTAGAGACAAGGACTTTTTCAGAAGGGTGTAGATGCAACATCGATGAAATGAGTTATTTCACAAATGACTGACTCCAACCGTGTTTCTGTGTGTTTTTAATTAAATACAAGTTTGAATTAATTCTTATCTGAGAGCAAATTTTTATCCATTACCAAAATGAGTTTTCTGATGTTCAGAGAAAGCAAAACAAAGATCTCTGGAAGATCTCTCTTCTACTCCTGGGGAGTTAGCAGTGTACTAGTAGGCAGCAGCTGACAGATTATTGGACAGTTCTGCTGTTATGTGTACACAGGTAAATACAGGCCACAACAGGACTCTGGACAGAAGACCTGGACTCACTTTCCCCAGTGTCTCTTGTCTGTTTCACAGCATTTTGATGAGAATCAAATGATGCATTAGGTGTTACCTGCAACTTGCCATTCCAATGTCAAGGATTATTATCTACAACCTTCAGGATTATCTAATTTATACACAAGTAAACCCTCCCCCATGATTCACACCTTAGTTTGCATTTTTAAATAATGACATGTTCAGCTGCAGTGATCCAAAGAAAACTGAAATAGAAAAGAAAGAAGAGATTGGTAATTAGAAGACAAAATTACAGTGTTTGAGTAGAGGAAGGAGCAGTATGAAGTCCTTGGGTTAATACATTGTGATGTCAAGAATCTGAATGCCTGGAAAGTGGCTTCAGTGATATTTCATGGAGACAAAGGAAGAGCATGCACAGCGAGGACAACAGCTTGGCTTGCTGTTTCCTTTTTTTTTTTTTTTTTTTTTTTTTTTTTTTTTTTTTTTTGGTATTGGGGATTGAACTTGGGACCTTGGGCTTGCAAAGCAGACTGCAGAACCACTGAGCTAAATCCCTGG